TAATATCCATGGAGGAAGGCTCCATTTGGGCCAGTAGTATAAAGGGTGCACGACAACAAAAAAAAAAATTAGGTACAACGTTACTGTCTTATATAACTCTCTTCACTGCACAATTTCTTTGTATTAAATGCTTCACTATTATGCAGTACTGTGGCTAGTGGTCATAATTGAGCATACTGTCGTGGGAAACTTGTAGCCATCTCATCTACCAACTCCTATCCATGTTACTGTCATCAAGTTTGTAAGAAATGCAATATTGTAAAAGTTCTCCCTCGATGAGACTCACTGCAAGAGCATGTTGAATATTTGGCTGGATCACTCGACTTTAGTTTATCTTAATCACATTACTGATGTTCAATTTACATTTAAAATTAATCGTTCCCCTACCTCAATCTAAACTTAGTGTCACAATTCTTTGTTAACTTTAAAAGTGATAGCAATTTGACGTGTCTTACATTCTCAATATATATTCGTATTGTGGTATTAAAATTTGAAAAAAAATAAATTTTTTTCGGAAAGTTCGATAATTCATGAGATGAAGCATATCCATTCCAAATTTTAAGATTTTATAGTTACGAGAAGATTATACCCATGTTTGATAGTGATTAAAATCAAGATTTTATTTTAAGTCAAAAGTAATTTACACTATACATTTTATGACATATTTCATCAACTTTTATCAAAATCTTCTAAAAATCTGATTTTAGTTCACATCAAAGGAAATCAAAATCCAGATTCTAATTCAAATCAAAGTTAATAGTTAATTTTTACCACACATTTCACGGCATCCACAATTTTTCAACCAAATTTACTAAAAATTTGATTATAATCCTTACCAAATAGGAGCATAGTAACTTTTAACCTTAGCCAAACAAGTACCAATTTCCCAAGTTGTTCGATTATAAATATACAATCTACCCATCGACATATACTTGAGAGTCTAAGCCAAAATTGCTGATTCTAATTGGCATGGCCCTTCACTCGCATATTGGTGTTCTAGCTTTCCCTTTTGGCGCACATGCTGCTATTCTCCTCACCCTTGTGCGACGGCTAGTGGCATCCTTGTCATCACAAGACATAAGATTTTCTTTCTTCAACACTGCGAAATCTAACTGCACGATTTTTTCCGGGCAGGGGTTTGACGACATAAAAGTTTACGACGTGTGGGATGGGATGCCGAAAGGTGAAGCTTTTACCGGTAGTCATTTGGAGGCCGTGCAGTTGTTCCTTAGTGCAACGCCGGGTAATTTTGAGAAGGTTATGAAAGAAGCAGAAGTGGAAAGTGGTATGAAAATAAGCTGCTTGTTGACCGATGCCTTTCTTTGGTTTGCCTGTGATTTGGCTTTGGAAAGAGGGATCCCTTGGGTGCCGTTTTGGTCTCCTGGATCTTTCTCTCTCTCTGCACATATGTACACAGATAAAATTTGGAGCATGATGAGATCATCCGGTAAGTTTTTAAATGATATAGTTGTTGACTTATTCGCTTCGTTCCATAGATACAAAGTATTAAGTATGTAACCCCTTCGGGGTGACCGAGTTCGTGGAACAGGTAAACGTAGAGATTAAAAATTACGAGTTCGAAATCCCTGTCAACACTTTCTCTGTCGAGTCTGTCGCATCGAGCTTGCCTAGTGCGATTTACCTCTCATGTGTGATTTGCGGGTTACTACATATGGAGCGGAGTTTATCTAGTGCGTACTCATAGTGGTCGGACCTCCGTCCCTTCGGGATGGTCGAGCCTCCGCTGACGGGTAGCAGATGCGGGTTCCTATGTCAACAAAAAAAAGTATTAAGCATGTCTTAAAGTTTAGTGATCATTTTCATTTTTTACACAATAAAAAAACTTATATAGTAAATTACTTTACTGAGTAAACATGTCCTAGATAAAGTCATGAAAATAAAAAATAAATAGAAACAACGAAAAAGACCATAGGTAAAAATTAAATAATAACTTAAAGACAAACAATAGAGTTTCTCAACGGTGATAAGTTATTCAAAAATTATCTCATTATAGTTAATTTAGCGATCTTTATACTTAAATAAAGTAATAAAATAAGAAACATTAATATTACCTTCAAAAGTTTTGTTGATAATTAAAAAATAAATCAAGTGAATTTTATTTTTTGATAAACTTAATTTATTGACACATTAAATAAAGTGAAAAAACACTTGGAACCAAAATACTTTCGGTTAGACAAATAATTTAATAGCATGTAATACTAAATGAGAAAATAAAATAATATCATTATTTCTTGACTCAATATTGCATCTATAACTTATTAAATTAATAAAAAAAATTTAATTATGGAAATATTAACTTTCAAGGGTGAAAATGACAATGAGGATTTCTCATTCAACAATCAACTAATGATCAAGTGTAAATAAATTAACTTGCTATTTATCTGTTTTTGAAAACTAAGACATCTAAATGTATTTGGGATGAAAATTCACATACCTTTTTGAGTCATGTTCTTTATTGCTGTTTAACTATTTTCAGTAGAATAATTATNTTGCTGTTTAACTATTTTCAGTAGAATAATTATTATCTTTATACGATATTCATTCCATCTTGTCCAACTATTGAAAGGAGGTGCTGCAGAAACAGCAGAAAAAACTTTAGCATTTGTTCCTGGAATGTCATCAGTACATATCAGTGCTTTGCCTGGAGAAATCCTATCAGAAAACTTAGAATCACCATTGGCACTCATGATCTACAAAATGGTACAAAAGTTGCCAAAATCAACTGCTGTTGTGGTCAACTCCTTCGAAGAACTTGATCCCATAATCACAACAGATCTGAAATCAAAGCTCCATAGTTTTCTAAATATTGGCCCTTCAATCCTCTCATCTCCCACTCAATCCAGTGGAGATTCAGGCCAGGAATGTTTGTTGTGGCTCGAAAAACAAAGGCCTGCGTCAGTTGTATACATTAGCTTTGGCACAGTATCAATACCACAGACTACAGAACTGGCTGCATTGGCAGAAGCACTTGAAACTGGTGAGTTTCCATTTCTTTTTTCATTGAGAGACAATGCAAAGAAACTTCTACCAGAAGAGTTTCTTGAACGGACGAGTAAATTTGGAATGATCGTGTCATGGGCTCCGCAGCTGAAAGTTCTCGAAAATCCTTCAGTTGGAGCTTTTATAACTCATGGTGGATGGAATTCTGTCTTGGAGAGTTTATCATATGGAGTCCCCTTGATTTGCAGGCCTTTTTTTGGTGATCAGAATTTGAATAGCGCAATGGCGGAGAATGTATGGAAAATTGGAGTCAGAATTGAAGGAGGCGTTTTCACCAAAAATCGAACAATTGAAGCCTTACAGTATATAATGTCAAATGACACAGGGAAGAGAATAAGAGAAAACATAAATAATCTGAAGGAGAAGGCTCAAAATGCTGTTAAATCTGATGGGAGTTCAACTAAGAATTTCAAAGCATTGTTAGAATTGCTCAAAAATTCACGTGGGGTTTGAATTTGATCCTTGTATGCATTTCAAGATAAAACATAGCTTGTGTTGCCTTCTGTAACAACTCTTGTTCTACTCTTACAGACTATTTTTCGTGTCATCTCTTCGTAAATGCTATGCAATTGAATAACTTGCATACCCTTGTGGATTCTTTTAGTGCATGTTTCGATTTTGTGCATTAAAAAACTCTTAGTTGTTAGTAAGAGCAATATAGCTAATTGATTTCAACTCATGTTTTAATTCATTACTTTTAGATTTTTCTCTATTAAAATTTGAAAACAATACAAACTAATTTGATAAACCAACCAAAGGAGAAGAATAATTAAGAATTAAGAGAAGAAGAAGAAGAAGAAGAAGAAGAAGAAGAAGAGAGAACATATTGGCGTTGTCTGGAAGGGTTTAATAGCGTTTTTCCTACCGTTGCTTTCCCACTTGCAGCCGCCGTTGTTGACTAGCTAACTCACAGGTGGGTCCCAAATGAGCTCCAAACGGTCAAAAAATGGCCAATCTAACGGTCAGAATTTTGGTTTTAATTTACTCCAGACAGGGCCATTATTGAACCACCAAAAGAATATGTTTCTAATGAAATAATTAGGTTTATATATTATAAGAAAAGTAAACAAAAAGGAAACCTATACTAGAAGTAAACTAAATAAAATTATGTATAAATTAAATATACTATATAAGGCTAACGTCCCCCTGCAAACTCACGATGCTACAGCAAGAAGCAGTGAGAGTTTGTCGAGCAAGAAGCGAAAACGAATGAACAAGATGAGACTGCGTGAAGAAGTCAGCAAGCTACAATGATGAAGAAACAAAAGGTAGGGAAATAATACCAGCAGATGATGGCAAACCAAATGACAATCAATCTCAATATATTTCATGTACTCGTGAAACACAAAGTTGTAAGAGATCTGAATAGCACTTTGATTATCATAATATATAGGGGTTGGAGAGGCAAATGAATACTTATGTCTAAAAGTAACCAACGTAACCACACAATTTCAATGGTGGTAGATGTCATAGCTCGTTACTCTGCCTCAGTAGAAGAACAGGAGAAATAACAGTTTGTTCCTTACTCTTTCAATAGATAAGACAATCACTAAAAAATATACAAAAACCAGTAGTGAACTTGCAATCACTGGAGTTACTACCCAATCAACATCAGAATAGACAGGAAGTACTAAAGAGGAGGTTGATAGAAACAAAAAAGTCTAAAAGCAAGTACCACAAAGATAGCGCAAAATACGAACAATAACTGCCCAATAAAATGTAGTAGCAACTGAAACTAACTTAACTAACAATTTGTTCAGCATAAACAATATCAAGACGTGTGATGGGAAGATAAACTAGACATCCAATAATGGTATAATATAAAGTGGGATTAGTCAAGGGTACACCGTTAGATGGTAAATGTTGAACGTTGGAATCAAGAAGAATATCAGCAATTCTAGTATTAGTAAGACGGGCAAGTTCAATAACATACATAATATACTTAGACCGAGAGAGAAGATAACATCTCGGAGAAGAAACGACTTCGATCCCCAAAAAATAAGATAATGCACCTAAATCTTTCCTTTCAAAACGACGAGCCAATTCTAATTTCAAATATCCAATCCCATCAACATCATTACCAGTAATAATCATATCGTCAACATACATCAAAAGTAGAATGCGACCAATTGAAGTATATCTAAAGAATAGGAAAGAGTCATGATGATTGGATGTAAAATCAAGAGAGGTAATAACGGTGAAAATTTTCTTAAACCAGGCACGAGATACTTGTTTGAGATCATAAAGTGCATTCTTGAGTTTGTAAACATATCCAGAAGAGTGAGAAAGATCAGGAGGAGGAACTATGTAAACCTCTTCTTGAAGATTTTCATTCAAAAATGCATTTTTGACATCCAAATAAGAGAGACTCCATTGACGAACAGATGCAACTACAATGAGTGTACCAACAGTGGCCATCTTGACAATAGGAGCAAAAATCTCCTCATAATCCAGACCATACTATTGATTAAAATCCTTAGCAACTAATCTAGGTTCGTGATGCTCAAGTGAACTGTCAGATTTTGTTTTAGTCTTATAAACCCAACAAGAACCAATAACATGTTTACCTGAAAGCATGTAAAGCAGAGAGTTCATTAGCCATAGCCTATTGCCAAAGAGAATCCAGAATAGCTTCTTTATAGGAAGATGATTAAGATACTTTGTGAATAGAGGTTAGAAAATAGCAAAAGGACTTAAAATAATAAGAATATGCAAAATAAGATAACTGAGGGGAATTATGTATACGTTGAGGATATCGAGGAAGGCAGAGAGTAGGAGCGGATTAATAATCTCATACGGTGCTTGGAAAGCCATAGAAGGAAGATGGGTATTATGAGCATGCATATGTGTACCTATAGGACATGATGAATCAACAGTACATGAGGTATGGGAATGTGGTCATTTATTATCATCGGAGAATGGATAAATACAAATGAGGTCAGTTTTAGTCACGTCATAAGTATTATCATAAATAGAAAAGAATGGAATGTGCTCAAGAAACACGATAGGGCGGGAATCATATAATTTCTTATTAATGGGATCAAAATAGCGATAACTATTTTGTCGTTGTCCATAACCCAAAAAAACATGGATAGCAGAGCGAGATGTAAGTTTACTATTTTCTACTTCAGAATGAAGAACAAAGCAAGTACGCCAAAGATTCTCGACGAGGAGTAATTAGGTGGATGCCAATACAATATTTCAAAGGGTGATAAACCTGAATTGTAAGAAAATGAAATCTTATTAATTAAAGAAACAACATTGAGAACTACTTCTCTCCAAAATTTACTAGAAACTTTGGCAGCAAAAGAAATGGATGAACATTTTCTACAATGTGTCTACGCTTTTGTTCAGCAACACCATTTTGTTGTGGGTTATTAATACACTAGGTCTGATGAATTGTGCTATTAAGTGCAAGTAATTCAGAAAAATCAATGGACCTATACTTTCCACCCAAGTCATATTTAAAACACTTAATTTTAGCAGAATGCTGAGTTTTAATGAGTGCTATGAAAAAATGATAAATAGAAGGAAAGTAAGGACGTCATTTCATAAGATAAACCCAACAATAATCTGATAGTGAACAAGATCAAATGATGCAACAGAATGAGAAATACTTCAAGGAAAAGGTAAAGTAGAAAATTTAGCTAATTTGCAACTATTACAATCAGAAATGTCATGAGTTTGAAAATCCACCAATTGACCCTTAGAAAGTAAAAATTTCAAAAGACTAACGAAAACATATCCAAGACGAGAATGCCACAAATAAAAATTAGAAGACGATGAATTCAAAGAAAAAGATGACAAGTTAACACCATAGACTACAACGTGTGGTAGTCTCAGATTGTCTAGAACATATAACCCACTTTGTCTAGGCCTATCCCAATCAACTTTAGAGATCGAGAATCTTGCACATGACAAGCAGTAGAAGAAAACTGAACTAAGTATCCAAAATCACACAATTGACCAACAGAAGTAAGGTTCAAAGTAAAAGTTGGAACACAATAGACCTTGAAAATTGATAAATTATATGTGTTAACAGAACCAACACTAGCTAAAGGCAATAATGAGCCATAAGCTAGAGGTGGGTATGGGTTGAGTTGAGTCAGTTTTTGCCTCAACCCAAACACAACCCAACATGATCGGTTTGATCAAAATTTAACCCAACTCAACCCGTATAAATGTTGAAATCCAACCCAATCAAGCATTAGTCGGATTGGGTTGGGTTGGTCGTTTTGGACGACTTGTCAACAAAAATTAAAGTCGTCCAATTTTTTATTATACTAAATTCGAATGGATAATATTAAATAGTAAGTAAATAAATAAATGAAATTATCTATTATCTTATTCGATCCTCATTAGCCGAGCCTAACAAAGTGCATTTAATATAACATGAAAAGCGTATACTACATTTCTTGTGGGAAGAACAATGAGCTCTACCTCTAAAATATACCAAGGTAATTACATTTACACTATCTACTTATACTTTTTAAGTTTCTTTAATTTTTCTAGTTGTTTTATTTTTATTTATTTATTTATTATTATTATTTTATTTTTTTTAAGTGGCGAGTTGGATTGAACGGGTTTATTCAGTTTTCATGAGTTCACCCATAACCTGACCCGACCAACCCGACCGACCCAACCTGTCAACACAGCCAACCCACCCAACCTGTATAAAAATAAGAAAAAAACCCACCCAACCCGATCGGGTTGGTTCGGTTTGGACAGTTTTGGTGAGTTCGGTCAGGTTTTGCCCACCCTTATCATCAACAGTCGTAACAGACATAGAAGAGTTAGAAGAATGCAAGTCATTAAAGAATTTTAAATTAGATAACACGTGTTTGGAAGCACATGACTCAAAGATCCATGAGGAAGAAATAACTGAGTGACTCTAAGATGACAAACCTGTATGAGTACAGGCTGACATAGTACGTGGCTATGTGGTTAAGAACTTTTGAAACTGCTCAGCTAAATGAGTCAACATGGGACTGGAGGAAAGTGGTGCTCCAAGTATAAACGAGTCACTAGGCGGCATGTTGACAATTATGTTAGCATTAGGACGATAGGATCACTGCTTTAGTTGTGGCTGCTGCTTCTTCAATACCTTAGGACATTGAGACTTCCAATGTCCATTTTGTTTGCAAAAATTACATTCTTCACTAGCAACTACATAACCTTTGTTTTGATTCTTGTGGATGGTTGAGAGGATACAACCAACACTAAGGTGCTAGATGGAGGAAGAGAGACTTCTCTTGCAAGAGATTTCAAATGTGTTTTCTCAGCTACAAGTTCACTAACCACTGAATCAACTGAGGGAAGTGGAGTGCGATTCAAGATAAAGCTTCTAAGTCCCTCAAAATCACTGCAAAGTGCCATAAAAAACTAAATTAATCGTTGCTCCTCTCTAAAAGTAATATATTTCTCACATGATCCAGTCTCGCTGATATGTAAGAGCCAACTCATCTTAAATTGAATTCAAGGCGGCATAAAACTCGAGAATACTCATATTCTTCTATTGTAAAGCCCGTATATCAATCTCCAACTAATACTGTTTTTTAAAACTAGACTTAGTGTTTAATTTCTGAAAATGACCCCCAAACTTCCTTTATTGTTTCAAACTTTCCCGATTGTATACCAATGTATTGCTCAACAAAAACACATTGTCCTGTTGAAGCTCTGCCAGAAAGTGTGTCATGTTCCCACATGCACTGCTTGTACCTCTGAGTGTGATGATTCGATTGATGTCGAAGAGTCGCGCGTGGTAGTACATGAGTCGGCCAGGAAAATTATTCTCATCACCGTGAACCTAAATATGGTCACCAATCTCCAATTTGAGGTCGACTTGAAAAGTTATGGTAGAAAAACAACTCAATAAAAATCAAAGGTAGGGTTAGGTTTTACAATTGCACAAATGATATGAGGATGAATGAAAGAAAGAAACTTCTTCAATGCATGTATTTAGGCTCTGATATCATACAATATAAACTAATTTGATAAACCAACCAAATGAAAAGAATAACTAAGAATTAGAGAAGAAAAAGAAAAAAACATTTTATTGAGCCACAAAAAAAAAGTATCTAATGAAATAATTAGGTTTATATATTACAAGAAGAGTAAACAAAAAGAAAACCTACACAAGGAGTAAACTAAATAAATTTATGGATAAATTAAATATGCTATATAAGGCTAACAAAATTATTTTTGAATATTTAACATGATTGACTTAATTTATTTATTAAATACAGTTGAATTGCATGTATTTATTATATGTAATCATATATTAGAACTTGTTTTCCATAAATTTATTTTTGAATTAAGAGATTTTCACTTATCCTTACGGTTACGATTTACTTGATTAATAGAATGCCATCCACTCCACTTGGAAACGCCATTTTGTGAAATTTTCAAACGTAACCCTGATTATGACTGCGTTTCCATATCTTCGAAACATTGGATTTTTTTTAATTTTATTTTTCAAAGAACCGCATCCTTGCTTATTTTTAGGTTACAGTCCTATTCACAAAGGATATAGATGTATAGAAGCTACTACAAAAAGAATATGTTTATCTAGACAAGCTATCTTTGCATATTTAGAGTTCGCGAGTTGAGCAACAGTACAGGACCTTAACATTTTGGGGCACCCTAAATGTTTTTCTTATAGGCGTTCATATATGTATAATTATATATTTAAAGTATTTTATTAATTTCAGATTTTTAAATTTTATTATTATGTCAAGTTAAAGTGCACAATATTTATGAAAATAGAGTAAAATAAAATAAAATTATATTCTATTAATATTTTTTTTATTTAACATATTATTGAAAAAATATTTATTTTTTATAATTTTAAACTACTTTGCTTTCAAAAAAAAAAAATCATATTTTAAACCATCAATTTTAGCAGCACAATCCAAAATGCCCAATTAACTTCATTAAAAATTACTAACCCAATAAGATAATAAGCAGCCCAAAATTCAAATGATGAAAGTGAAGAATGAAAAGCTAATCCTAAATTTCCTTTTGTCATTTTTCTCACTCACACCCTTTAACCTATGAAGAACACTCAAACGGAGAAGAGAAAAAGCTCTACCGTCACTCTTTGTTGATTGCTCTACAATAGTACAATCTATATCGTAAAATCGTCATTTTATTGATATCGATTGTTATTTCGTGATTTTTTTAGTTCTAGAAGGTTAAGTTTTTGTTACATGAAAGGGGCAACATTTTAAGGTTTTTTTTATTGGTGCTCATAGTTTTTTTCGTTTTATAATGTTACACAGCGCATCCAAAATATTAGAGCCGACCCCAGTCTTTGGTGATAATGTTATTCCTTGTGCACCTAACAAAGAAGTTGTGATGCACGAAAATTTAGAAATCAGTACATTCCCTGAAACAGATGTATCGATGCAAAACGGGAAACAGATTAAACGTCTTGAACTATACACATTCCGGAAGGGAAAACATCACTTTCGAATTGAAGAAGAAGAATGTGTGGAAAATTAGTATACAATTAGTCATGAAGACAATCTGCCACTTAAACCCAGATTTGTAGCCCTAGTGCTTTATGCGATTGAATTTTACTTTAGAAATTTGTGCGCTTGCTAAACTTAGTTCATTTAGTTAGTAATTAGAAAATCTATCTTTAAATCCATAAACTTAATTATGTATATGTTCGTGTTAGAGTTAGTTGTGACTAAAGTAAAATCGATAATTAGGACAACTCACACTCATCATCGTATTACTTGTTAAAGATCCATTTTCTTGGGGGTGATAAAATTGATAAAAATGGACAAGGGCTAAAAGCATTTGCTTGGAAAAATAATTAAAATACTAAAAATTAATTATAAGGCCATGTTTGTTTTTTCCATTTTTTCAGAACTCTTTTTTCTACGTACTCATTTTCAATTATACATTCACATGAATCGGTCTAGTTCTTATCGAATCGTGCCATGCCTACGTTTTTTACCGACCATCAAATTATAATGAACTAATTATGAAATAGATTTAACAAAAAAAAAATTAATGGAATGAAATATTTTACATATAAACTCAAAATTTTTTCTTACTTTTTAATCACACATTCTCCAAAAATTCATTATTCAAAGAGATTTTTTTTCTCAAAAAAGGCCCACCTATACCAAACATGCTTGTTACTAAAAATATCTCTAACTTCACTTCCTATATATTTCTCAGAGATATAAAAAGCATAAATTGAATTTCATATGATATTGTTCAAGAATCATTCGATCAATCCAGTCATTTTCATACACTAGTAGTTCTTTCTCCTTTCTTATCTTTCTCTTCCAATTATTATATATCACACCCTGTCGTGCCCCATTAATTTTCTTGCATTTTTATCCACCAAACTTACTCTCTCTTAAAATGGTTGATACTGCTAATATTCAAGAAAATGCAGCAGAAGAATCAGACGAAGCACTTTCGCTTTGTGATTTTCCTATAAACACAGATGAAAATGATCAGATCATCGAGGACTTATCCAAGAATCGTGATATACAATCATCATCGTCCAATTTCTTTGAATTTTTCAGTGATTTAAGGTCTGAGATGCCCCACGCAGAAGAAATTATTTTCTGTGGTAAACTTTTCCCTTACAAACTCCAACCTGTTAATGTTCTTGATGATGCTCAGGAGCATCCCCTTAGAGATGATCAGAAATCAGAAGGACGATTTCAATCATGGGATGAATTGAGGATCATGAGATCAAACGTTAAAGACACCGGGCTATTGCGAAGCAGCAGATCTTTACGATTTAGGCCCTTTAGGGCATTGAAGCCAAGGTGGTATGTTTTCATGTTTGGGATTGTAAAATTTCCACCGGAGATGGATCTTCAAGATATAAAGAACCGGCAGGTTCGTCGCAATACCGGTAGTATTTTTCCGTGGATTGATGCGGGAGGGAAGGCTCCGGTGAGCCACAATGATCGGAAAAATACTTGTGGTTACGATCTGCTAAGGGTGTTAACTTGTAAGAAACATGCAAATGTAGCTGTGAAGGCTTCAATTGGTATCATGCCAAGGAAAGTGTAATCATGTAATATTTACTTATTAATTGTTATTTTCGATACTCTTTCTCACGAAACAATCCGAATTCAATCCACGATTTGACATGTAATAATGTTTTATAAATAAGTGACGAAAAAAAAAAATTTAACGCAAGTCTTTTATCTAGCTAATTTAATACCGTACTAATGTCTCGTCTAAAAAATAAAGTTATTAAAGAGCAAAAATTAAATGTTGCCTTTTTTTTATTTTAGGAGTAGCATAAGAAAATTCATACAAAAAATTTGTCTTTATTTTTTAAAACTTAACCTCGAAGGGAAGATATTGTATAATTGTGGTCGAGCTATGATAGGGTGGGAGCCATTAAATCATTAAAGATGACAAGGGACCTGGGTAAATGAAAATTTGGATAATTTTATATTGATTCATGTCAATAAATTATTTTTAAATGCCAATAGATGAATGATTATGAGTCTGTTTGGTGTGGATTAAAATCTGATTTTAATCTAGGTCAAAGTCAAACAATCAATATTAATCATATCTTTCATGGGTCCCACAACTTTTCAACCACACATTTCAAAAACTTCTATCACAATCTACTAAAAATCTAATTTTAATTCCCACCAAACACCATCTATATTAGTTGGTGGGTCATAAGTCGACCACTCATGCACGTAAAAAGTTTCCAAGTGATTAGAATTCACAAGATTTGAAATCTAGTTGTATGTGTTTACTTTATTGTTTTTAGTTCATATTTGTTGTTTAATAATGTCGAAATGACATTTGAAATGGTTGACAATTGTTTGTTAATGACATTTAGAGAAGAATGGATCTATTTCACCCGTGTGTATGTGACATAAATGTAAGTCAATTTTCACAATGATAAGAAAGAAAGTAGAACTGATTTGATTCTAATGGTCGAGTATTATGTATTATAAATATAAATTGTCGTAATCAAAGCGTCATCAACTACACATTTTGGCCAAATGGTAGGTCCCGACTCACCCTCCGTGAACAAAGTTGGAGAGGAACTCTTAGGTTATCTAGAATGGATTCTCGCCAATGTTTGCGTTACTTAAGTTTAACATTCTTGCTTTCATGGTTTCACTTTATCTACCACTACCCGTGTGGAGGTTTCCCTCTAAGGTGAAATACACTGCTTCTGATGTATTTTTACATACCATAGTTTCGAAATATTACTTAACCCTGTTCATTTTCGGCGCAAGATTGCTCGAGCAATAAACTATTACGTATTCATTCAAGGGTGATTACTAATAGGCAAACCTCCAAACTATATCTACACCCTTATCTCTTTTATCCCTAAATGATCGTTTAAGAGCTAATACCTACTTATGAGTAAGTAAATTTTTTATTTTCATGGGAGTCAGAAATGAGAAGTGGCATCCTTCTCCTAGAGTTAGCAATGGGAATTTTTTTTTTTTTAATAACTCAGGTATTCAAGTTTCGTCTGACTAATCGTGAAGAGTGGCAGCCTTCCCATTGAGTAGCCACCCTGGCGATCGGATGCGAACATAGTTTATATATACTTGGATTGGACATTTGGGAAGGGATTTTCCTCCCCGGAGGAGTGATTGAGTGGACCATAATTTTGTCTCCGCACGACATCTGCTTTCCAACTAAATGTTGCCTTCGCCAGGATTTGAACTTTTGATACTCCGTAAAGAACATCCCTACTTTACCACTACATATCCTTCTCCTAGAGTTAGCAATGGGAATTTTTTTTTTTTTTTTTTTTTAATAACTCAGGCATTCAAGTTTCGTCTGACTAATCGTGAAGAGTAGCACTGTGGCAGCCTTCCCATTGAGTAGCCACCCTGGCGATCGGATGCGAACATAGTTTATATATACTTGGATTGGACATTCGGGAAGGGATTTTCCTCCCCAGAGGAGTGATTGAGTGGACCATAATTTTGTCTCCGCACGACATCTGCTTTCCAACTAAATGTTGCCTTCGCCAGGATTTGAACTTTTGATACTCCGTAAAGAACATCCCTACTTTACCACTACAACATGCCCACAGGAGCTAGCAATAGTAAAATTTCATTTGGCAGATAGCATTAATGAATTGATAAATGTCCAATGTTATGGTTATTTGTTCACATCATTAGGAAAAAAATAAAAATATATAATAAATTAGCAAGAATCATGAGAAAGAAGTACATATTCAACTCCAAAGTTATTGAAAATAAAATTTCATTTCTAGTTGTTATACTCAAGTTTCCTATGTAACATAAAAATTTCGCACTCCTGAATTGTTATTTTTTGTCTACTTCCAAAAATGAAAAATGGACACTTCAAATAAAAACGAAAAAGTTAAAAGTTATGATGAGAAAGTATATGTCAAATTAAAGATTACATGAAGTTAGTGCCTTCACGGAAAGTGTGATGCAAACAGCCACCCAAAAACCTCCACCAACTCTTAGAGATGAGAAACGTGTATTCATTTCATTTCAATTATATCTTCAAAAATAAGCGGAGGGTCCCATCTTAGCCTCCCCCTACCAGGAGTTGAAAGATTCCGTAGTTTACACATTTCCAATTGAAAATGCAATTGACAAAATTTTAGTTAGAGTACTATTCAATCCTCTCTATCATGTATGCCACAAGCGTGTTCCCACCAAGCTTTGTCCCCATGAATGGCAAAAACCAATAACAGTATTAACCAGAAAATGCAACCATACTACAGAAAGTTTAACAAACTGAAAAGAAACCAGACTGAGATCATCACATAACAGCATAATTGAAATGGACCAAAAAAAAAAAAAGGAGCATAAGAAATCACAAGTGCAAGAACCAGTAATTCACAATGTAACGATTCGATCAAATGATAAAGAAACAACCCAGAGTACCAGATAGATGTGAAGGAAATACTTTCTTTGAACTCACTAGGATGAACACGGAAAAACGTGTTGCAATAACAATCAATATAAGGGCATGTTTGGCAGCAGTTCTTCTTTTACTTATGCTTCTAGTAGAAGAGCTTCATGACAAAGCTACCTTAGGTTAGTTTTCTCTAAAAGCTCTCCTAGTCAAACAAAGCACTTTCAGATAATTATCCAAACATGTTCAAAAGCAACTTCTCAATCTCAAAAACAACTTTTGACTTTCAAAAGCCCCGCCCAACGAGCTCTAAGAACATGCTAGTTTAACTTTAACAGATGAAAACCTGAATGTATTTGATCCTGAAAATGTTTTGCGTCAAGCCTCTTATAATCATTTTCTCTCCTAGCACAATGTCAATCTTTTCAATATAACAAAGTGCACATCAAAATTACTTACATTTGAAGAAGGCAGGTACTCAGAAGAGGCTGAATATAGATCCTAATTAATCACATGGAAACACCAATAACAGCAGTCAAATTACAATAAAAATTGATACCATTTCCATTGAAAACATTCAAACAAAATTAAAAGGTCATCCAGGGAAACAGATGCATAAATAAAACTTATAATAGGCAACCTGTTACAGGTAAGAAAAAACTACTACTGTAAAATTTATCTTGCTAAGAAAAAGGAACAAGCTATTCAATGAACCACTCCAGATGTAAGACGCAGACCAGAATAGTAGTGTTCAACTGTTCTAATTTTTCAAAGTGTTCAGATAATTTCTCGCGCAGATTTTTCAATCGAGTTTCCTCTACTCGCAACCATTTCATTCTCAGTGCAACTAGATCCATAAAATGAATTGTAAAGTTTATAATATGTTTAATGACTCAAAACCAAGCATAATAACAGAGAACCCTTCAAGTAACTAATATAAAAACTACTGTAGATGTAGATGTAGATGTAGATCTAGCAATAAACTGAACAAGTGGAGGAAAATGATTCATGTAGCCTACCCAAAATTTATTAGGAAAAGGCTGAGTTCGTTGCTGTTGCTGTTGTGAGCTTCTATATTTTCAATAGCTAAAGTGATATGGTGTTTAAGTCTGGCCTTGATAGTTTTGCAACTATTATTACGAGCATGGTATTTTGCCAATCAGTATACAGACTTCTGAGTTTATCATGTGTACATATTAATCACGTACCCTGAAAAATTCTCATCAAAATAATGTTCCGAGTTTCTAACATGAAGCACATTTTAAACATTTATCCACAAAAGCTAACCTGAGTTTCCTAAAACATAAGTGAAATTTTGAGAAGATTATAACTGCAGAAGTCAAGATAGCTTGAACTAAAGTTACAGGCCACGGCTCGAAGACTGCTATAAGCATGATGAAACATAGAGTAAAATATTCAAATCAATTACATAAACCAAATGGCTGACAATATTTAAATGCAGAATTCCGTATAAGAACAATGAATGAAGGTTACATGTCACAAGTCAAAGAAAGTAATGAACATCTCAAAACCACAAAACTCTTCATAGTATAAGAGACAAAAGGTGATACATGTCACAAAATGGGATACATCATTCCTGGTTAACTGCAAATATAAAGCCCGCTTGTGTACCTGTGATCAACCTCATAAAAGTCCATCTTGCCATCAGTAGCAGGCTGAAGAGAAATTCCAGACAAAGATGTAGCCCCATGAGCAGAAAACTTCACATAACCAACAACCTCGAGATCTTCCTCACCATCATCGCCAATATCCACAGGCATCCTTGCCCTCAACCTACCAGGATTACCCTTCAAAGGAATCTCATCAATATGCCATTTCAATTCTCTCTCAGACCTGTTCAAGACTGCCTTTGGTGATACTTTTAATAAAGTTGGGTCTACAGGTAGTTTCAGGACAAATGTGACATCATTTAAGGGTGCCGATAAATCTGGATTGGAAACATACTGGATCATCACAGAAAGCAAAGTCCCACTGAGACGTTTGATAAGCCGCACCCTCAAAGGCAATGGAGTCTGTCTGGGTAACAAGCTATATTTGATAATTGGTATAGGTTCCTCTGAAGGTGCAGTCCTCACATGAAACAGACCATTTCCAAGGCTGCTCACTCGAGAGCTTTGCATGACAAACCTTTTAACGTCACTTGTACCTTCAATCTTAAATGAAAA